ACTCTGGGTCTTGCCGGATTCTGGGTCTTGAGCGTGAGACCACGCGTGAGGCGAGTAGGAGGACCGAGCTCAGGGCATCACCAGGGGCTGTGGAGGATGCTCTGTAGAAAGAGCAAGGACTCGGCCAGCAGCCCCAAGAGGCTCCTTTTGTAATCTTCCCACAGGGAAGCTCAGACCTGTTTTCTGTCAAGTCCTGCTGTGGTTTCGATTGAGAAGGCTCCCCAGACTCCATGCACTCAGAGGCAGGGATTTTGGAAGAGGCTTGGAGCACGGGGTGATGCGGGTGACTTGGCCTGGTCAGAGGCAGGTCACTGGGGCAGGACCTGGGAGGACACATCTCCCTCCCCAGCGCCTTCTCCTCTCTGCTTCCTGACGCGGGTGAGGCAAGCAGCGGCTCCCCGAGAGCCCCTCCACCATGCCTTTCTGCCTTGAAGTCAGCAGACCACATAGCTGTGAGCTAAGATTCACCTCCCCTCTGATTTGTGCTTGTTGGATATTATGTTCCAGTGGAAATAAAGTGACTAAGGCCAGCTGCCCCCTTTTTTTCTAAAAAGCTACAAAGAAAATACAGACATACAAAGAAGACTCTTTCAACTATTTCCAAAAATGGAATTTGTGGATCTCATTGTGAAAATTCTCAGGGCTATGTAAGCATTAGGAGTGTGCGTTCTAAGTAGATTTCTGGGTTCAAACAATGATAGCACCTAAATCATAGGATTCTTGCCTGAATGAAAGGAGTGAACAAATTTTCTTGATTGATCAATTCATGCTTCTATCCTCTGTCTCAGGAGAGGGAACAGACATGGATACCTACGTAACGTGACCTGAAGTAGACTTCGCTGTTACTATTCTGTTGAATTACTCTTTTAAATTTTGAACCCAGGAGCAAAAAGGTCTTAGAAAACACAAACTGTATTCTGGCTTTATAGACTCTAATCCAGTATGCAAAATCCCGATCAATACTCCTTGAGATTCATCTTGTTGTCTCATACAGCTGGCCACACAGGGGCTGAGTCATCTGAGTAGTTATGATATGGTTTCTTCAAAATATTTTTTAAGTCATTAAAAGTCAATTGAGATATAACAAGTGTGTGTGTTTACGGGATGTGGTGTTATGTTCTGATCTATATGTTCGTTCTAAAAACAGTTTCCAGATTAAGTTAAATTCATTTAAGGCGCTCCAGTGCTTTCTGGAAGCAGGCTCTAACGGGCTTGGCAGGCAATTTCACTGGGGCTGAGATGCACAGGGTCAGCTCATCTACAGAGAACTGCAGGGGCTCAGCCCCGGAAGCCCCTTCACAGTGGACAAAATGCCTTTCTTCAGGGGAAACTTGGGGTCTCCTTCCATAGCTCCCCAGGGGCCTACAGGGAAAGCATCCCCTGCAACTGCCTCCCCGGTGCCTTTCCAGGCAGGGTGACTGTTCTTGGGGAAGCCAGTCTCTCAGGGACTTGAGGGAGCCAGATTCCGGGATGAACTCTCGGGAGGTGCCGCTGCTTGGAGTAACTTCTGCTTTGCTGCTTGGCATTTGGACAATTTCTGAGCCTCTGTAGAGCCACGTTGCTGAGGGAGTACGCTTCCCTAGGAAGCCTGGTTTGGTAGAGGCTAATGAAGGAGAGGCTTAGTGGCTAAACCCTTTAGGGAAATGGTGGCTTAGGCGAAGTCAGTGAGATTTCTTAACTGTAGGATTTTACACATCTTTTAACTTGCTGATGTGCAGTGTGGTTCTCCAAGAGCACACGGGGGCTCCAATCTTATGAGAACAGTAAATCTATTTCCTCCCTTGAAGATGTGTGGGGACAGGTGGGTGCCTTCTGTGTGATTCTCAAACCCCTCTGCACAATGTGAAGACTGAGGGGCTAAAAATAGTGTCTGGCCTATGCGCTCACATTGCCTAACTGAACTGGGCCCGGTGCCGTCTGGGCCTCAAGACTGCAAAAGTTCCCGGGGGTCTCCAGGGAGCTCCGCTGCCCTGGACTCAGCCTGCGTGCTCAGATGGGACCAAGCTATGGAGCACTGCCTGATTGGAGTCGCGGCCTTGCCACTAGGAAGCTTCGTGGTCCTCCCCGTGTACAGAGCTCTGTAAAGTTTCTAGGATGGAGGAGCACTAAACCACATCCCTCAGTTGTTCGGCGAGGGAGGAAGGAGTTGGTGGGCTTTGGAGCAGCTGCGCTCTTGAAGGACACGCCTTCCTTTTCTTCTTTGGGTTGTGGTACTGCACAGAGAGGATCAGATGGGGCTGGCGCTCCTGCAGGTGCTTTCTCCGGCACCACCCCTGCGTAACTGCTTTGCAGATGAGCCGTACAGGTGCCACCCAGGAAGCCAGGGAACTGGATAGCCCTGCTCCCTGCGCCAGACGGACTGCGGCAGAGTCCTTGGAGGTGCTGCGTGAGAATTCGCGAGCGAGAGGAGTCCGGCACTCCCTGAGCTCTGAGGTCCAGGCTGCAGAGCAGGATGCGGCCACCATCAAGCACATTCCGGTCTCTCTCTCTCTCTCTCTCTCTCTCTCTCTCTCTCTCTCTCTCTCTCTCTCTCTTTAGTGTATTTTGTTGTTACGGGGTCTCACTATGCAGCTCAGACTCATAGTGATTCTCCTGTTTTCAGCCTCAGAGCTGGAATTATAGGCGTGTGCCACTGTGCCCAGACTCTGCGGCTGGCTCAGCCTGCACTGGGGACAGAGCTGGCTCAGCATGTGGTGCCATGGATCAAACCGTGGTCCCTGCACTTGCCTAAGCTTGCCTAAGCAGGCGCTGTAGTCCGCCAAGCTATCTTACTGGCCCCCCTTCTGCTTTTCTGCAAGGCCCAGCGGGGCAGCCCTGGAATCCTAGTGCTGTTGGAGGCTAAGGCAGGAAGAGCACAGTTGTGAGCCCAGCCTGGGAAGCATGGTGACTTAATGAGATCCTGTTTCAAAAATTAAAACGAACAGAAAGACAAACAAACCAACAGACAGAAAAATGGCTGGGGATGGATGGGCTCAGTTTGTGGGCGCTGGGTTCAATCTCGAGTACTGGAGAAGACAGAATGCTTTCTCATGGCGCCTGCTCCTGGCCTCTCATTCCGGGCTGCCCAGACTCCTCTCATGACGTCCCCCAGGCTCAATTCTTTGCATCAGCCAGAGTGAACTTTCAAAGTGACAAAAACTCATGCTTTTAAAACATCTTCTCTTTGGGGATCCGGTCCCAGCTGGCCAGCATGGTGGCGCTGTATAAATCCCTGACAGACCTCCTCAGGGAGATGCAGGGCAGCTTCAAGAGTGCATTGTTTCCTATTAATCAGCTTTGAAACTGTCTCATTGATATTTGTTTCTCAATAAAATAAAATAAAAGAAAAAAAAAAAGAATGCATCAGGGTTGCTGCAAAGCCATCAGCAGGCGTGGGCAGGAGCAGCTCCACCAGGGCGGGCAGGTGCACACGGGCCGGCTCTGTGAATTTGGAATGAGAGAAAACTGGAGACTTTAGAGACGTGTTAGAAAGCTGGGCACAGATAGATGCCTTTCCCTGGAGAATTACCCGTGGAACCAATTAGAGCCTGGTGCCCCGGCAATGAACATAGGCAGCTCCATAGCAGGGCCTGGGGCAGGACCCAAGTCCCGAGAGATGGGGAAGTCGGTCTCCTAGCCCTGCCCTCTTGGGATGAACCTGAAAAATCCCAGGAAACGCTACTGTCAAAGATGCATTGCTTTGCTGGGACGAGGGGGAGGACTCTCAGAGCAAGCCTGGGACAGGGAGGTAGCAGAAGCGACCTGCTCATGCATGTTGCTGTGACTACGGACCTGAGCTGTGTTGCTTATTGAAAGGAAACAAAGACAGGCTGATTGAGTGCAGAGCGGAAAGGCAACTTCCTTCCTCACCAGGGTCACACATGTGCTGCAGGAGAACGAGAACTGGGTCCTCTGGACTGGCAGGTCCCTGCCGGAGGAAACCACAGGCAAGGGTAGAAGCCACTTGCTTCAGGAGAATTCAGGAGAGGACAGCCCACATCCGCTGAAGGCTTGTGGGTCTAATTTCATTTTTTGGTTAGTGTCCCCACTGGGCCAGCCCCGCATTGGCCTGGCGGCTGGTGCATCAGGAGTGCAAACACGATCAACGCCCTCCTGTGCGGCCTTGTTCTCGCACTTTGTGACGAGCCTCCAAAGCCACCAGTGCAGACTCCTGCAGTAGCACTCAGACAGCACCAGACAGCACAGGTGTTTATTTCTGCTCGCAGATTTGACTGCTGTTTATTACCAAACTGCTGCTTGTCTCATTAGGGACTCTGAGAATAGCGGAGCAACGCTAGCGGGGTTGTGTTGGGTGCTGATAGGAGCTCGCGTTTGCTGTTCTGGTTCCCAGTTAGTGCTGGCATCTGCATCCGTGTATATATCCATGTAAAGCCTTAGTAAGCCAGCCAACCCTAACTAGGAAGGCAGCTCTGGCTAAACACACATGTTGCTAGACCGAGAATAGAAATGTCTACAAGCGGGTCCCATTGCGATTGATAATGGACTTTTTTTTTTTTTTTTTGGCTCACCCTCTTTTGTTTGTAGAATGTATATTTTCCTTCCTTAACACCTTCATTTAAATTTTAAAATCACCACTGTGTGTGTGGAGTGCTCCCGGCTCTCCCGAGTGCCTTCACACCTGCTGTGATCTGTGTGCTGGCTCACGTGTGGGGAAGAAGTTGCGATCCCTGTGGGCTGAGAGAAGCGCTGAGCGTCCCTGCAGTGAGGAGCGTGAGGCGGCCAATCGTGCTCGGACCGAGCTGCAAACACAAGAGCCAATTTATAAGCCAGAGGGGGTCACGTGGGTCCTGTTCGTGCCGTGGTGCAAGCATCTATTACTTCTCACCTTGCATTGAGCTCTAGATTTGGAGGTCCTCCTGCAACCACAAATCTTGTTGAACTGGAGGGGCTGACACTGTTTAAGCTCTTTTTTTTTTATGTTTTGCAATGACTTGTGTGTCTCTGGAGGCATCCCTTCACCCGACTCTCATTGCAGCTGTCCCTGGTGAATTGCCACACGGATGGCGGGGGGAAACTGCACTGTGGTGACAGAGTTCTTCTTAACTGCATTCACACAGCACCCGGAGCGGGGGCCCCCCCTCTTCTTCATGTTTTTGGGTTTCTATCTCACCACCCTGCTGGGGAATGCAGGGATGATCATTCTGATCTGCAGAGATCGCCGGCTGCACACACCCATGTACTTCTTCCTCGGCCACCTTTCCTTCGTGGATGTATGCTACTCCTCTGTCATCGTCCCCCAGATGCTGGTGGTGCTGTGGGAACAGGGCTCAGTCATCTCCCACGCTCGCTGCGCGGTGCAGTTCTTCCTCTTTACCTTCTTTGCGTCCATTGACTGCTACCTCTTGGCCATCATGGCCTATGACCGCTACGTGGCCGTGTGCCGGCCACTGCTCTATGCCACCATTGTCACTGAAAAGGCCGGCTGGGGCTTAGTGGCTGCGGCCTATGGCGCTGGTTTTTCCAGTGCCTTTGTTCGCACGGTCTCCGCCTTCTCTCTCTCCTTCTGCGGAAGCAATGAGATCAATTTCATTTTCTGTGACCTTCCTCCACTGTTAAAACTCACTTGCGGGGACAGCTACACCCAGGAAGTGGTCATCATTGTGTTTGCCACGTTCGTCATGCCCGCGTGCATCGTGGTGATCCTGGTGTCCTACCTGTTCATCATCGTGGCCATCACGAGGATCCGCTCTGCGGGGGGCCGGGCCAAGACCTTCTCCACCTGTGCCTCCCACCTCATGGCCGTCGCTCTGTTCTTCGGCACCCTCATCTTCATGTACCTGAGAGACAACTCGGGCCAGTCCTCACAGGGGGACAGGGTGGTGTCTGTGCTCTACACCGTGGTGACCCCCATGCTGAACCCCCTCATCTACAGTCTGAGGAACAAGGAGGTAAAGGAGGCTGTTAGGAAATCCCTGAGCCGATCTAGGGAAGGCCCTGGGTAGACCCTTGGGAAATACTCCACTTCTTTGCTGCTCTGTCCATCCTGTAATTTCTCAGTGACCACCCTGAGGAGACTTTCCTAGACTATCTACTTAAACTCACACCCGAGCTTTTCGCCTCCACTTCCTCACTTACTCTTCTATGTAATGCGTGCTATATTCTGGCAGGCTGGATGCTTCATGCATTTGGTCATGGCTGATTCTCACAACAGGACAGCAAATGGCAAGAGAATAAACATTTTTTTTTCACACTCATTGCCTGGCAGGCTACCTAAAAAGCAATAAATTCTTGTTGAATGAACAAATTATCCTCAGGTTGCAGCATCTGTGTTTAAGGCCCAAATCCTGCAGGCTTTAGTTTCTTATCTGCCCAGTGGGTTGACCTACGTCATGGATTTATATTGTTGAAGAGGCAGTGATGGCTGGGTAGGGCCATGTCTACCTCCTTCTCTAGCATTTTCTGGACCCATCACTCTCTCTGGCATAGCACACACTTGGGGAGTAGAGCAAAAAGGGGTGGGAAATCCCAAAGCTCTCTGTAGATACAGTTACTGTTTGGGTGGAAGGGAATTTTCTCACTCTCTTCTTCATTTGTTCTTTACAAAACTTGCCTCCTTACTGATTCTGGGTTATTGGAATGGTAATAAAAATTCTACCAATAATATCAGTAGGTAGAAACTAATATTTATTACTTTTCAGGACTTACAGTCAATGTACTGTAGGACTTGTCTTATTCAATTTGCAGGATATACCTGTGAAGCATGTTCTGTTATTATTCCCCATTCTCAGTGGAGGAAGCACTTAAGGCTTCAAGGGGCTCAGCAGTTTCCCCAAGGTCAGTGAGAGAGGGAGTGGCAGGGGCGGGGAGGGCTGCTTCCTCTTGGCTAGAGCTGGGTCTCTTAATAGTCATATCTACCATCCTTGTTCATGATCTACTGCCTGCTCTAAATCACTCACCTTGAAATTTATTGTTATCGTGCTTCCCCTTTTATTTGGCGGAGAGAAGCTCAAAGCCCAACTGCTGGGGGCAGAAGGCAGTAATAACACTCATCTCATCATCCTTCAGGGTTGGTATCGAATTATGTGATGTGATGTGTGTGTGTGTGTGTGTGTGTGTGTGTGTGTGTGTGGTTGTGTATGATAAAGTGAATACAAGTTAAATAGTTTATCTGTGCTTTCAGTTTAAGGGCATAGGACAAGTATTTTGGGAAAGTTTTGGGTGGACGTACACAGGAGAAGATGTAGGCAATGACATCTTACTGGTAGCCAAGAAACTGGCTTTTGCACCAGAGCTTTTGCCTGTGTTTTGCACAAAGCACTTGGAACTATTGACTGGGATGAAGGAACTTTGCACAGAGCATCCTGCTGGCCAGATTCCAGGTTTTGTCTGCCACACAAATGCTTCCTGAATACATCAGCTTCTGTGGCCGGCACTAGTTAGCTGTGTTGATGTTGTAGAAGAGGCTTAGAATTTTGCATCAGTGTATGGCTTCAGATTAGTTAGTGATTTTCAACTTCCTGTACATGAGGCAATGTTAACTGAGAACTTAGTTTGGGCTCTAAATTTACTTTGCTTATTCTCAAAACAACCTGGTGCACATGGAGAATGGAAAGATGCTTAGTAGGATTTGTGGCCGTACATATGATTAAAACAATCACCCAGACTCCAACACAGGAAGTAGCAATGGGCAGAGACGCACAGCTTCCTTACTTCAGGAAGGCCTAAGATAGTCCCTCCTCAGATTAGTTTTGAGTGCAGATGCTTTTAGAAGTGGAGGGTTCACTAAATAATTTTTTCACTTAACTCCTAAGCTAATGCATCCCTACCATATGCAAGGCGCTAGGCTAAAAGCTTTACATGAATGATTTATTTCAGTCCTCCAAACAGCTTTAATGGAAAATAATTATTATTGACTCCACTTAGCAAAGGAAAAAAAATCCATCAAGACACAGGAAGGTTATATAACTTCTCACTCCTGCCATCTAGCAAGAAAGGGATGGAGAAGAACGATTCTGATTCTAGTTTTCTTATTCCAACATGGTTGCTATTAGCTGATGTCACTCCTACATTTTCTTTCCCCGAGGTCTCCAGTTCTTATGATTTTCCTCAAAGAAGTCTGGGTTTCCGCTGTTCTCCTAGCCTCAATCTCTGTTTGATGTGGGCTGAGGTGGGAATATCTTAGGACTGAGGTAAGAGTGAGGCTCACGAAACTTGCACCGGGTGTCCAGTGGCCCCATGCAGATCTGGGGAGCGTCCAGCACCCACAGAGAGGGCAGGGTTGGCTCAGGTGAATTCTTGCTTTCCAAAACCTTTTGGGTCAAAACTTTCCTCCGTAAGTAGCTCATGAGGATGGTATCACCTGTCAATCAACGTTGCTCTTGTTTTGCGATCTTAAGCAATCACTTAAGGATTTCAATATTACGTTACAAATGCTAATCACTGTCAACCCACTTAGTAGTACTAACATACTGTACTGCATATATATAAAGATGTGTACAGATAGAATTCATTGTTTTTGTTTGATCCCTCTATCCTCCTCCCCATACTCAAGTGAAATATCTAAAACCCTTTCTGATTTTCTGGATTATAAATGACTGTTGAATTTAACTGACATGCAATAAACTGAACATACTTCAAGGGTACAGCTTGATGAGCTCTGAGGTATGAAGACACTCATGACAGCATCACCGCAACCAATGTGCAATTTTATATAAAAATAATGTGCAGCTTCTTCAACTTAGCATAATTATTCCAAGAAACATTAACGTTGTCACACAGTTTGATAGCTCACTTCTTATTGTGGGTATTATTATATCATGTGATTGTACTGTGTTCGCTAATTTCTGCATCTGTTAAAGGCTCCTTGGGTTGTTTCTGGTCTTGGATATGAGAAATAAAGCTATTACAAGCATCCCTGGAAAGCTCTTGAGTGGAAATGTCCTTTCAGTTCCTCAGGATGGAATGGCTCTCTGACAAGGCGGGTGCATGTTTAACTGTTTAGGAAACTCCTGGGCTGGCTTATGAAGCCTTGAGCCACTTAACCTTCTCATCCACAATGGCAGCAGTGCCTTCCACTCACTCCAAATTCTCACCAATATCAGCACAGCTATATATATATATATATATATATATATATATATATATATAAACATTTTGTAAAAATGGATACCATGAGGTCTACCTCTTGGCAGCAATTTCAGAGTATAGGGCAGGAGTTTCAGGTATAAGCACAATGCTCCTCAAAGGAGCTCCAGAATGTCATCATCTTGTGTAGCTGAAGCTTTGCATGGACCAAGGAACAACTCCTTTCTTTCCTGTCCCCCAGAGATCACCGGGCCACTTTAGCTTCTATCAGTTGGAGTATTTTTGATATTCTGTAGGAGTGAAACCAAAGAGTGTTTCACAGCGTCTTTCTGGGACTGGTTTTTCTCCTCTTCACCAAATGCTCCGGAGGTTACTCTGTGCTGTCACCTGTGACAGCATCTCTTTCTGTTCTGAACAGCTGAATTCCCTACCACATGGTGTTTATCCCTAGACCTGTCTGGACAGATCCTTTTCTTGTCTCCACATCTTGGCTGTTCAGTCAAACCTGGCAAGGAACATGGAGTGCAGACATCTCTTTAGGATCTGGATTTCGATTCTTTTTTTTTATTATTAATTTTATTGAGAAACAAATAGCAATGAGACAGTTTCAAAACAGGTTAGTAGGACAGTTACAATAATTAATACATTGCATATTGTTGTCTTCATAGTAGTTATTCATAGTACAAGATGCAGACATGATATCCTGTCCAAGCGCTATCAGAAAAAAATCTCTCTATTCATTGAATTAAGAGAAAGTAGTTGTATATCTATCCTATTTTGTATATACAGATACAAAATGATCCTTCATTTATGGATTTCAATTCTTTTGGATAGCTGTACACAGGAAAGACAACTCTGAGTCATGTGATAGCTGTTTTTAATTTCTTGAGGAATCACCATTTTGTCTTCCAAAGTAGCCTCACTCTCTTACATTCCCACTGGAGGTGTGCAAGATTCCTAATTTACTACATCCTCCCAAACATTTGTTGTTTGTTTCTCTCTTTGAGTAATGATCATGTAAGCAGGTGTGAGACCCGCTCAGCCTGCTTTGTTTGGAATCCCTCTGATGGTCAGCAATGGCACAAACATTTTCATGTCCCTACTGGAGACCCGTAAGGCACTGGAGAAGAGCCTATTCCTGTCCTTTGTCCTCTTAAAATGTTTCTTATATAAAAATATTGTTGGAGAGATGGTGCAGCGGTGCAATTGCTTGCCTGGCAAACACAAGGTTAGGAGTTTGATTCCAGTAAAAAAAAAAGTTAAGTGACAAAGATTTTATACAGTTATGGTTATAGTCATACTTTGTAGCCTTTGTATGTTTGTCAAAAATCAATTATTAATGTACATAGGGGTGTTCACCGGACTTTTATTTCAATAATTTATTTGTCTCTTTACACCAATGCCATGTTGTTTAGAATACTAAGAAGTCTACACCTCAGTTAGGGCAGGTCCTTAGTTATTCTATGTCCTTCGAATTACCACGTGATTTTCAAAATTAGTGTTTCAAGTTTAACAAAAAATGTGTACTGGAAACTTGATTGGGGATTTCACTTTTTTTTTTTTTTTTGCGGAACTGGGGATTGAACTCAGGCCCTTGACCTTGCCAGGCAAGCGCTTATTCTACTGAATAAGCCAGCTCCCCAGCCCTGGGATTTCATTATTGAACAGAAGTGAGAAGAGCATAACTTCCTGTCTTGTTCTTGATTGTAAGGGAATGTTCAGTTTTTCCCGCTTCTTCTGTAAATTTTTCAAAGAAGCCCTTTGAAACAGATTGAGTTCCCTTTGATTTTCAGTTCGTTGAGAATTTTTCTTTTTTCTTAAATCAGGAATGAGTTTTGGATTTCTTTCTAAGAGTTCTTGCATGTAGTTATGATCACTTAGTTTTATTTTCTTTTATTAATATATTGAATAACATTGTTCACTTTTCCATGTGAAATCATGCTTGTTTTTGGGATACTCCTTGACCATAGCATATGAATTCTCTTTATGACCAAAGTAACTAGAAGGCGTTTCTGATCATTCTTGGGTGATGAAAAAGGTCACAGGTGGTATAGCCTGGAGCTGTATGCCACTTCCATTATATCGATATATTTATTTAAAAACAATTCTGTGAACACACAGTAGTTGCGCAGATTTATAGCACACAGTGTGATGTTTCACTGCATGTTATACATAGAGACTAAATCAAGGTAATTAACATTTGTATCTCCTGCCACGACTTTGCGTTTGGAGCCTTTGAGATCCTCTTTTCTGGTTATTCACAAAATAAATGATCAGTTACTGTGACTTTTAAAGGAGGACTGAGATCCAAACCATTTAAAATCTGGTAGAAGGGGAAGCAGACGCGCAAGACACCGGCAGGTAGGAGGGAGGCAGAAGCAGAGAAGAACGGGAGGCGTTTGTCTCCCCTTACAATCCCCTTCCGCAGGCCTCAGGGTCCTTTCCGTCCCGCACTGAGGTAGCAGCTGTGACTCCGGAGAGCTGGGCTAGCTGAAGACCAGACAGGACAACGAGCGCAGAGGTCCTTCTGGGTCCGTGGTATCTGCAACAGTGAGCCGTTCCCTCTTTTCCTTGGCAACATTTCCTCTCCTTTCTTTGGCTTCCTGTGCTCTACTTGATTGCCTTCTAAGAATGACGGCCTCTCAGGGCATGGTCCTGTTCTCTCAGGAAGGAAAATTTCATTCAGTCTCAAGACTTCACATAAGTAATCTAGCTAAATAATACAATTTTTCCCCAATGGCCTACAAGGCTTCGCCTGCATTCGTAACCACCTGCACGCCTGTGTCCGTTTCCCATTCCTCGAGAAAGCCAAGCCTGCTCCGTAGGAGTCGCTGACACACGCACTCTTCCCTCTCTTGGGACGTCTCTCCAGACCTTCTGTCCACTCACTTCCTTGTCGGTCAGTCCTCTGCTCCAGTTCCAGCGAGAGTCACTGTCCAACTCCTGAACCTGTCGCTCCGAAATAGCGCCCCCCCTCCCCTCGCTGTTGCCTCCCACTCACTGTCCTGGTCCTCGGCCGCCGCAGGCCTTCGTCCTGCCTCGTGCTGCGTTCATCATTTATTTGTTTGTACGTCCACTGCTCACAGACACACAAACAGTGCTACTTTATTCTCTATAAAGTACCAGCTAAGCACTCACGACCTGCCTTTCACCCTTACTAGGGCCTCGAACACTTTTGTTTAGTATATAAATAAATTAGTATTCATTAGTATCTTATACATTTGGCTTTACAGGGTATTTCTGTCAGATGGACATCTGTTTCTGCTCTTTCTAAAGTCTCCTCATGTTTATATTATTTTCAATTAGAGAGTGGAAGTCTCTTTTAGTTTAATGATAAAACCACACATTGGTTTTTCTCATGGGAGGAACCAGCAAACAAGAATAGTGTAAAATTTACTTAACTGCACTTTGAACAAACTCTTTATGTTTTTAAAGTTAATGATAGCAATTACTGACCAGATATTGCCTTTATTGAAGTCATACCAAGTTATTTTCCATTCTCCCCCTGTGGGCTGGTAGTGCCTTGAGGTGGCGAATGGTGGGGTATTCACTCTTTTAGTCCCTCCCCCAGACTCAGAGACTGCAAATAAATAAAAGGCTCTCAAGAGATGTTCGCAGAAAATAGAAAGCTGGAGAACGATTCAGGGAAATGTCAGACTCCAGGCACAAATTTCTATCTTTCCTCTGTGAAGATTCGTCAAGGGAAGCCTGTGATTCCCTTTTCCTAATCAGCTCTCTTCCCGGTTTCAATCCTCGGTCTAATTCATGTCTTCAGGCAAACGTCCAAGTCGTGTGCAAGTCCACTCGTGGGCAAATGGCCTTCCTGTTGCAACAGATGGCGCTCTTCCTTCCAACTCCAGTGGAGCCTACATGTTAGATAGAGCACAGGGCAGGCCTGCAAGGACAGAGACCTACTTCGAACAGTTCTCAGGGGTGTAACCCTGGTGCTCCCCCCCACAGTGCCTGATTCCTTCACCGGAGAGGTTGGGATCCAAGGAGGGTCTGGGAAGAAAGCAATGATCCCTGGAATGCAGCTTACTTGCCAGTCTCAGAGTCTGCACCATGGTTATAGCCCCCTTGCCGCTCCTTCCCTTATTGATGAATGGCCTGCACGTGCTGAGACGCAGCCATACCAGCAAGTAGGTGTGGATCACACCCATCTGACATTCAGCAGGACGTAGGACCTCCGAGCCCAGAGCAGACACGTCTCGGGACTGAGGGACCCACGTCCACCCAGGGCTCTGCCTCCATCATGTTACCTTGAGGGTGGATCACCTGAGCTGTCGCAAGGCATGCTGGGGAGTCCTGAGGTTTCCACCACCTTGCCATTGTAGATGTGGGTGTCCTGCATCTTGTCTTGGAGCTCACTAAGAGTGACTTGGGGGTGTATTTTACATCTTTGCTGATCTGAACCCAATACCCCAGCAGCCGGCCAAATAGAAAAGGCATGGTAGGGTCTGAGAATGTGAATTTTAAAAAAATGCACCAGATAATTCTAATGCCCAGTCCTAGTTGCCAACAATGGGGGAAGACCAGTGGCCTCATCCGGTAGATGAGAGAACAGGCCAAGAGGGTGAGAAGACAGGCTTAGTTTCCATAGATACTGAAGACAGAGTCGGCCATGTAATATACTTCCTTTACACACATTTCTGTGGCTTTTCATAAAAATAAAGTCATTGGGAACACCGCTCAAAGCAATATTCTGAACCATTCAGTGATAAGCTAGGTTCTGTATTACTGAAGCTTAATTTTGAGAACTGTTGCATTCTGCGCTGCCCTTTCACATTTTAAAAAATTTTTTGGTACCATTTTGCAGTACATAAAGTTTACATTCGTCTTTAGGAGTAGATGCAGGAATATAACCCAGCTTGATTCTTTTTTAAATACACTTCCCCTTGCCTCGCACCCACCCACCTCCGTCTCCAAATCTTTCCCCACACTTTCATTGCTGCTGCTACTGTTTTTAGTTCATGTTTATGACACATAATCTCACACTCATCATGGGCATTTGTTACCATTTTTTACATCCTTTTCCTTCACTTCCTCCCCTCACCCCTTGTCTCCGGCACCCCTTCTTGCTTGTACAACAGCAATCTCCTTGTTGCCGCACTCTAATCCTTTATTTTGCTCTCTATATTTTGCTTTAGTCACGTGAGAGATAGTATGGTGAGGCTCTGAGGGGTCACCTAGTTAGCAACCTTGCACTGCACTTAAGTGAGCATTGTCCCCAATTATTTGGAAGTGAAAGTACAGTATTCATTTTTACAACAATTAAACATCTTGTTAAATAGAAGTAAACTTTGGAAAAAAACTAGATCAACAAAGGCTGGATAATAACTGCATTCAAAACTTCAAAAGCTACACTATTGGTGCTACAAGATTGATTATTTAAGTTATAAATAGCTCATATCAAAGTTCTTGGCAACAGATTATAATCAAGATGTGTGTCATTTTGGTGTACCATGGGGTTACAAGATCCTATTTCTAAGAGCAGAGTTCTGTAGAAAAGCACAGAGCCCCCAAAGATGGGAATAAGAGGCAAATACCTGAAAACTTACCGAACTTAGACCTTCACAACTATGCCCTAAATGCTGCGCCTAGCAATGCACTTGGTTAAGCAGATCAAAGAATTCAGGTGTGGGGGCATCTAAGGGACAGACCCCATTTTTTATTGATGAGCTTCCTCAGAGCACCGTTCATGTCCTTGTTCCTCAGACTGTAGATAAACGGATTCACCATGGGTGTCACCATGGTGAAGAGCACAGCACCAATTTTGTCTGTGTCCTCTGGGTGAGTGGACACAGGGCAAAAGTAAATCCCTAGGATTGTCCCGTAGAAGAGCAGTACAATGGTCAGGTGAGAGCCGCAGGTGGAGAAGGCTTTCCATCTTTTTCCTAGGGATGAGAGTCTCAGCACAGCCCTGATGATGCAGATATAGGAGAAAAGGATGACAGTGAAGGGGAACAGGATGACTGATAAGCCCACGACAAGGATCACAAGCTCATTGACTGTTGTATCAGAGCAGGACAGTTTGAGCAGAGGGGCCAGGTCACAGAAGAAGTGTGGGAGAGTGTTGCTGTTACAGAAGACCAACTGGATGAGCAGGAGGGTGTGTGTCAGGGCAACAATGTTACTGAAGACCCAGGGGATGACTGTGAGCAACATGCAAAGCATGGGATGCATGATTGTTGTGTAGTTCAGCGGGTGGCAGATGGCCACAAAGCGGTCATAGGCCATGACCCCCAGGAGGAAATTGTCGATGACGGTAAAGACGATAGAAAAGTACATCTGAGTGATGCAGCTGTTATAGGAGATGGACTGGCTCTTGGTCTGAAGATTCACCAGCATTTTGGGGATGAAGGTAGAAGAGGAGGAGATGTCAGCAAAGGACAAGTTGGCAAGGAAGAGGTACATGGGGGTATGCAGGCTTGTGTTGAGAACGACAGCCAGGATAATGAGCCCGTTTCCAGCCACAGTGACCAGGTACATGCCCAGGAAGAGTGCAAAGAGGACTTTCTGCTTCTCAGTCTCGCTGGAAAGTCCCAGAAGGATGAACTCTGAGACCGTGGTTTGGTTGCCTTGATGCATGCCTCTGTGAACCTGAGCAAAGCAACACTGAGTCTTTATGTTTTCACAAGGAAAATCAGAGCAGTACTTTTGAGCTGCAGCTATTCAGAGCTGCAGCTATTCCTCTGAATGCGAGTCCTTCAAGTTAGCAAGTAGAAGGGTGACCTGGGAGGGGATGTCTTGTCAGTGCAGTCAGGAAATAACCTAAGAAGAAAGACAGGACATGCTGTAGGCTTCTCAGTGGACATGATGTGATGTCCACTGCTCTAGCCAGGCTCTGAATTTGATTTTTTCTGCTAATGCCTTGTGTTGTCCAAATCCACCATAGAGCAAGGGTAGCACACACTTATTCTAAAGATGCTAGACAGTCCTGTAAGAATTTTTAAAAGTGAAAAAATGGGGCCCTAGACTGTTGGTAATGTTTTTAAATCTAAGAAGGTAGAAATGTAAAGGGTGGTCCAAGTGAAGAGTTGGGGGAAGCTGAGTCAACTGAATGTGAAAGATTTTGATGGGCGCACAATGCGCATATCTTCCTCCTACCAGAGTTCTGGGTGGATGCCAAAGAATGGCTCTCGGTGAGCACAAGAAAGCATGATCAGCACTTTTCTCTGTGTGTGGCTGTTTGATGATCCAGAGAATTTAGAAGATGCAATTGAATGAAAAGACTTGTGTTAGCTTCTGACTTCTAGGGATGGGGTGGGCGATCTCTGTGGATCAGCCCACTAAATGGGTGGCGGGGAGAATGGTGATTGTGGTGAAATCCTGCCCTCCTACCGACAGGCAGGCAGGTACTAGGGGTGCATTTCCTACAGGCCAAGTGTGGACTGCAGGGGTCACTGAACTCAGGCTGCCTTCTGGGACTGCAACCAAGAAAAGGCCTGCCCAGTGGTGAAAGATGTCTCTGTAAGAGCCCGTGGTGTGGCTTTGTTATGAAAGAACTATGTTAGGGAGAAAACAGAGAAAGAACAAAGACCTTGTCAGGGAACTGCATAATGATACACATTTGAAATGAGGCTCTGCAGCACCCAAAATGGTGGCAGGAGAAAGCCTGCCTGCTGCTCCCAGAGCCCGGGCTGCCCATGTTGTGTGGGCGCAGACCTTTGCCCATTTCATCTTTTCTCTCTGACCATTTAAAACTAAATCAGAAAGGAAGCACACAACAACAGCCATGAGAGGATGACGAGGACTCAAGGGTACCAGACGACGGGAGAACAGATGCCACTCTCCTCCTGTCATCTCCAAGTGGCACAGGAGACCCAAGCTCAGGAAAGAGGATGCACGCTTAGACCTGGGTGGGAAGCTGAGGTTTTGCATCAGGCCCCTCTTAGCTTTTGCATTCCTGGAAGTGGGTCTTCAGCATCAAAAGGAAACTTGGTTTTAGAATCATAAATGAAGAGAAACTACAGATACCTCACAAAGTTTCACCTAGAAGCAGGAAAGGGAAGTTCAACTAGTGTGATTTTCCTTGTGGTCTGCTGTGAAGACCATCCAACTTGGAGCCAGAAGGTGCCGCCCCATGCCTCTCTACCCCCTGATATTGTCTCCCTCTGGATTCCCTTCCTCTCTCTTTTATTCTCCAAGTCACTGGTCTCTCCAAGATTCTATTCTTTCCACAGAGAAGCCAAAAGATAGCAAACTTCCATTTCTCAGAGTTTGGAAAATGGAAAAGCAAGGAGCCCCGGGCAGAAGCTTGGGGTCTCTCTGCTCCAGAGGAGCATGACTTACAAGTGAGTGCTGGTGGGGAGACGTCTGCAGAAGGAAGGCCCACTGGAGAGACCAAAATGGGGTGAGGAGTAGGTGGGAACCACACCTATGCCTCGGACTTCTACTGGGATGTGATTTCCATGTGCTGGGCTGGTTCTGCTGGACTGGGTCTGGCCCTGCATTTCTCCAGGTGACAGTCTCTCCCCACACCTCCTGCACCTCCCCAGCCACAGCACCCATGGACCAACAGTCCCTGGAGGAGCTGTCTAGTTATTGAGACCAGTGTTATCTTCTAAACAGGCTCACCTCTGAATGGCGACAGGTCTCAGAAGTTCCTCCAGTCCAGGCTCGGAGGTCTTCTTGTACTTAGCAGGGTGGAACCAGATGGCGGCCTCTGGGGGCTGTTGTCAACTGGATTCTCACTCTGGGGACACAGTGAATGGTGTCACCATGCCACATAGGCTTGCCTGAGATCCACAGCTTCTCTGAAATCCCTCGGGGAGACATCCCTGAAGTGTTTCCCTGCAGACACCCAGCAACGTTCATGTCTTTGTCTTGATGAGGCAAGC